AGCCGAATGTTCCAGCCCAAAACTTCAGTTTCTATACTGAATTTTTGAAGCAAATTCTAGCTAAATGGGCTTGTTTAAATGGCCCTCTATTTTTCCAAAAAATTTTACTTTGGTCCTTCACTTATATAATTCAATTTAATCACAACTCTACGATTTAGGTTTCTCATTTTTAATTACAACAATCTAGCCCTCAATTAGGGTGATTTCTAAATTATTGTTGGTCTCTTGACTCCCACAATTATTTAAATTAAATAGCTAAAACCTTTAACTTTTATAATTACCTCCCTAAAAATAATCTGATTAAATACCAAAAATTCATTGTCACAATAATTAATCATCCATGCTTACCAAATAAATTCTAAATTATTTCCTCTTTACTTTCTAATATTTATGTGTATGTAAATAATATTTTCATGCACATATAATATCAATCCACATATTTAATTTAACTAATTACTCCTTAATGAAAGATTCATGCATTAATATAATTATTCCTTCTTCCATACGTATGTAATTATTTAAGAGATTTTTGGTCAAGGATATTACATCCTCCCTCATTACAAAAAATCTATCCTTAAAATTCCTATTCAAACAACTCTAGGTACTTATCTTTCATTTCTACCTCCCTTTCCCATATTGCTTATTCTATATTATGATTTCTCCATAAAACTTTGATTAGAGGAATCTGTTTGTTCCTTAACTACTTAATTTCTATATCCAAAATTTGGACCGATCCTTCTTCATCGCTCAAATTCGTCCGTAGCTCTAATGGCTCGATCCTCGAATATGGTTCGAGCCTTCCACATATATTTTCGAAACATAGTTACTTAGAAGACATTATGCATCAAAAAGAGAGATAGAGGTAAATCTAATTTATAAGCTCAATTTTTAATCCTCTCTAATATCTCAAACGGTCCAATATATTTAGGATTTATCTTACCTTTCCTTTCGAATCTCATAATACCCTTCATTGAAGCTACTTTCAGGAATACCTTATTGTTGACTTCAAATTCTAAATCATTTCTTCTTACATTGGTTTATTTCTTTCGTCTACTTTGAGCTACTTTCATCCTCGTTCGATTAGCTCTACCACCTCGACTATTTGTTGGAATAACTTAAGTCATAGCAATTTTTGTTCACCAACCTTATCCCAAAGTACCGATGCTCTACATTTTCATGTATATAATACTTTGTATGGTTCCATGCCAATGTTGGTCCGATAATTATTATTATAAACAAATTATGCTACAGGTAGTTGCTTTTTCCACCTAGTTGACCAATCCAATACACTTGCTAGAAGTATATCCTCCAGAATTTGGTTCACCATTTCTATCTACCCATCAGTTCGTGGGTGAAAAGTTGTATTGAAGATCAAATTAGTTCCGATCACCCGATGTAGACTCCTCCTAAATCATGATGTGAATCGTGGGTCTTGATCGATACAATCGAAACCGGTATTCCATGTAATCTTATAATTTCCCTCAAGTACAATTTTGTATACTACCGCATGAAATATATGGATTCAATTGCTAAGAAATGGGCTGACTTGGTAAGTCTATCTATAATCACACAAACACCATCTCGCTCCTCTCTCGAATCTAGGTAATTCGAGTATAAATTATGTCATAATATGCTCTCATTTTTACTCAAGAATATCAAATAGCCTTAACAATCCTTAAGGCATCCGGTGCTCAATCTTATCTTGCCGACATATTAAGCACCTTGCTATATGATCGGTAATATCTAGTTTCATTTCTCTTCACTAGTAAATTTTTTTCTCCAGCATTTTGATACATTTTAGTGCTTCCAAGATGGATAGAGTAGGGTGTGACATGAGCTTTCCTTAAGATATCATCTCGTGGCTCCTTTATAGCAGGAAAACATAATCTGCTAGGATAATAATAAGTACCATCGTCATTCATAGCAAACTCAATTCTTTTGGTTTCCAAACTTTCTATTTCTTTTAATTACACACCTCAAAATTAATTTGAGCTACTTATTTTGATTGATCTCCTCTCCCACCCCTTTCTTTTGTTTGGTATTTGTTTTCTCTGTTTTTTTTTTTTGTTGTATTTTTCTATAATAATAAAATAAAATAAAAAGAAATGGTAGGGGTAAAAATTTGGTTATTAACAACAATTAAAGTGGTTGAAATAAGTCTCGTCATGACTTTCTCTTTCTCTTTCTTTTTTTTGTTTTTTTTTTGTTTTGTTTTGTTTTGTTTTGTTTTGTTTTTTGTTTTTTGTTTTTTTTTGTTTTTGTTTTTGTTTTTTTTTTTTTACATTTAGAAACCAAAGCACAATACAAATGAAGTTAGGGTTCAAAACAAAAGTGTTCAAAAAATTAGAAATTAAAATATAACATTCTCAAAAACTTACATATCAAATACCTAAATATAGCTTGAACATTACAATAATGTCACAATATAGTAAAATATGCCATACAATTGTGCTTACATCCATAATGAATTGGGTGTAGGTGAACAATGAAAAAGAATATTAATACTACAATAAACATTAATATTAGTTTCGTGTTTTTATGTTATATTTATTATATACTAGCTGGTATGGTATGTGCACGATTTAAGTTATTTTTATCTTGAGTGAACTAATAATATATAAAACATTATTAATGTTATATTAATTTTAATATATGATGGTCAATTAGTATATGTGATTCAAATTAAGCAAATGGAATATGAAGCTATGAGTACTTTTGGAATACAACAGCTTATTTCCAATACAATTATGATTATGGCAACAACAAAAAAGAAAATTACAACGAAATCCATCATCATTATACTCACAAATCACTATTTTTTTTTACTATTCATGATATTTTTCTAAAACTTTAGTCCTCAATTTTTCAATATTTTTTTTTCTCAATTTCAAACTTTGATTATATTGTGATTTGGTCCATTTTGTTTTAGTGTTTTTTGTTAATTATTTTTATTATTTAAAATTTACTACTTTAATTTGTCATTTTTATAAATTCTTTTTCTTTTTTCAATTTCAAACTTTGATTATATTGTGATTTGGTCCCATTTTGTTTTAGTATTTTTTTTAATTATTTTTATCATTTAAAATTTACTACTTTAATTTGTCATTTTTTTAAAAAATTCTCATCAATTAATTTAAAATTATATTTTATTCTAGTTTTGATTTATTTTTTTATAAGTATTGATTTTAGAATAAATCTTTAGAACATGATTATTTTTTCTTTTGAAAAATAGATTTAGATAATGTTTAAATTATAGTGGCATGATTAATATATATAATTTGGCTGAAATATATGTTTAGATTAAAAGTATATTTCAAATAATTATTTTTTTATTTTTCTATTATTTTAAATTTACTATATTAATTTGTCATTTAAATTTTTTTTTTCCAATTTCAAACTTTGATTATATTGTGATTTGGTCCCATTTTGTTTTAGTGTTTTTTGTTAATTATTTTTATTATTTAAAATTTACCACTTTAATTTGTCTTTTTTTTTAAAATTTTCATCTCATTAATTTAAAATTATATTTACTAATAGTTTTGATTTATTTTTCTATATGTATGGATTTTGAAATAAATTTTTAGAACATGATTATTATTTTTTTTTTTTGAAAAATAGATTTAGATAATTTTTAAATTAAAGTGGCATGATATATATGTGTGTGTATATATATATAATTTGTCCGAAATATATTTTTAGATTAAAAGAGTTTTTCAAATAATTTTTTCTAGATTTTTTTTATGTTATTTAACATTTACTATAGTAATTTGTCATTTTTAAAAAAAAAATTCTCTTTTTTTGTTTTCAATTTCAAACTTTGATTATATTGTGATTTTGTCCCATTTTGTTTTAGTTTTTTTGTTAATTATTTTTATTGTTTAAAATTTACTAATTTAATTTGTTATTTTTTTTAATTCTCATCCAATTAATTTAAAATTATATTTAATGATAATTTTGATTTATTTTTCTATATGTATGGATTTTATAATAAATTTTTAGAACATGATTATTTTTTTCTTTTGAAAGATAGATTTAGATAACTTTTAAATTATAGTGGCATGATTAATATATAAAATTTTTTCTAAAATACATTTTTAGATTAAAAGTGTATTTCAAATAATTTTCTTGATTTTTTTTAAAAAAATCAAATTAATTAATTAATAATTGAAAGTCAAATTAATATATTTTTTATTTTAATATTATTCGTTCTTTTGTAAATAAATAAAAAAAATTAAATTCACATTTTTTCAAAATTTGATATTCTCATCAATACTAAATCAAAAAAATTATTTGTTCAATTTTATATAAGCTTTTAATAATTTTTATTTACGTTTTCCGACACAATTTTATGTAATACTAAAGTTTTTTAAAAAAATTATTTTATTTTCTTTTTAGTTAATAATGCATGGATTAAAAAGGATAAATTTTTTTTTTTTTTTTGCAGGAAAAATTATGAAAAACACAAATAAGACATAGTCAAATACAAAATTTTTTATTAAAAAATTATAAATAATTTTTTTCACCTTTGATTTCATATATTTTTATAGATTCACATCATAAAACAGATTATCAAACTGAAATGATTTCTCTAAACGATTTTATATATTTTATCTAACCCGTAGTGTGGGCAAAAAAACTAATTAACACTAATTTTTATGACACGTGCTAACCGAACCACTATTTATCAGGAAATAATAGAATTAAACATGTGAAAATACAATAAAATTAAAGTATTCCTTCGTTCTGACAAACATTTTAATGTCCAAAACTTATTCATCGATATATATAAATAATTCATGAAACTTTTCAGAAATGCTCATTTACATTTCAGAATACAAATTAATTAATATAAATTGAGCATCGCACCCCTGAAATTCCGTGACATCCAGCACAGACATAAAACATGACAAAAAAAAAAAAAAATACAAACGAAATTGAGTGATTAACCAATATATATATGGGCATAAATAGGTGGATTAATTATTGGTAGAATCAAGCAGCTAGGTCCTGGAATCCAATGCCAGTATGGTGCTGAGATTCATAGGTTTCATGTAATCAGTGGAGCCGGTCAAGATCTGTTGTGTGATGATTCTGTTTGCCTTTTCTGATGGATGGAATGCATCCCAAAATGCATACAGGTTCCGGTCAGGGCACAAGTTTGACAACGCTGTGCATAATCCAAGGCCATTGTATGGTCCTTGTCCGCAACATGCTATTTTTGATGTAGTAAATCCTGCCGAACAAAAAAAAAAAAAAAAAGAGTTCCTTAATTATTATACTTCTGTCAAACAAGCGAAGGTTAGACGCTCGTGTACGATATATCACGGCAAAGATGTTCATGTTTCACATTTCTCTTATGATAGATTCGTCTTAATTATTCAAATGTTTCCATAAGCCCAATTTATGATGCTTGATAATAGAGGTAAAAAATGGAAGTCTAGGCAAATAAGTTATTCTGCCATGGAAGCTATAGCGTACCAAATGATTGAGGACTACTGAAAAAATCATTGTGCATTTGGTGAGTATCTGCAGCAATGAACACATCTCTGCCTATTTTTCTGTTAACATCAAGTATCATGCTCTCAAGTTGTGGATTATACAAGGCAGCGGCACGCTGTAGTTCGGCTGAGCAACCGCCATTTGTGCTCCTCATCGCCAATTCTGCAGGAACACAACCTAGTGGTCCTGTGCCAGTCACAAGAACTCGGCGCCCCCCAAGGTGATACAGCCTCTGAAAAAACGGGGAGGTATTAGGATAATTTTTGTATTTTCACAATTTTGGTTGTGATGCATTTGGAAAGTAGTATTTTTCTTTGCTATTCCTTTCCAAGACTTAGGAACAGGAAAATATATATATATATATAAGGGGGTTTTCTGTTGTAATTACAGATACAATGCTTGCAGATTAAATAGCAAAGATAAGGCATTACCATTAATAGTTTCCGGTACTCGGAAATAAGATATTTAACATAATCCGGTAAATCATACTGGCGAGACCTTGCAGAATTAGGAACCAAGTAGTAGTTGTTGACAAAATCGTTGCCACCAACTGTGATCAGGACAAGTGCTCGATTGACAAGTCGCTTGGCCTGCTGGGCTCCAATAAGTGCACTGACTCGTTGCTGGTATTCTTTGAAGTACTGCAGTTGTCTAGACATTCTTATTATATTTATCTGAAATCGTTGCAATTTTAGGCCACATATTAGATCAGCATTCCAAATATCTGATAAATCTAATAAGGATTGTTTTTATTTATTTTTTTCTTTTATTGAATTAAGAATTTAGAAATTAGAGAAGCTGGAGACTTACAAACTGGATTCCAGTGTCATTGAGGATTCCAATTCCAGCAGAAGCAAAGTTGGCACCAACAAGTAGCCTCTGCCCTTTTAGCTCTGGACTCAGGTACGGCAATGGGGATTCTGAGCCAATTTGCTCACCTGATGCATGCATTTCTGGGACATTAGTAATGTGACTAAGTGGTTGCACTTGCATGAGCAGGTGGGTGTGGGTTCCAACATTTGAGCATTGAAATGTAAATCATGCCACACAATAACAATACTAACTGTTAGAACTTAACTGATAAGGTCAGGAATGTTGAGGCCATTAGAGAATCGGCCTGTCGGTCGACGTGTTGGATAATCGATTCCATAAGGGGGTGCATCGGCCCTTGCAGTTGTTGCCAGGTAGTTGTTGTTGCCACTATCAACTAGTGAATCACCAAAGACGAAGAAAGCCCTCGCATCAGCTTGATGAACCAGTATTCCTAGAGCCAAAGCAATACTTAAAATCATCCAACAAGAATTGCAAACTGATGAGGGGGAGGCCATTCTATGAAACCTAGAAGAGAATGCTTGCATGTTGACGAAGACCTCTAGGCCTAGGATGTGATGAAAGATTCAGGATGGCCACATGTCTATATATACTGCTAGCTTCTTGCTCTAACATCCTGGATGCTAGAGTTCAGCGAAAAAGGAAGCAAATTAGTATTGGTAGTTGTGTTTAATTGGCAATAAGTTGTACTACTGTATAAGAAATAAAACCTTGCCACAAAAACCGATATGGCTTTATAAAGTTGGATTCAAACCTACTGTTGTTTGCCTTAATAGTAGTTGATAATACGTAGTTTTCTACTGACAGGCTGCCATAAGCTCTCCCTCAAAGCTGCTTTGCAGAGTAAAAAAAAAAAAAACTTTAAGCTTTCACTTTTGGGGGGTTTTCTCACAGTTTCAAACCAGAAATATAGAATGATTACGGAGGAAATTAGTGAACTATCCATGATATATATATATATATATATCACATAATTAGTTAAGTTATTTTTTGAACTTATTACACTAATTTTTAATATTCTTAAAGTTGATAAAATATTTTAAACCATTATATGTTTATATAATAATTATTTTATGATAATTTTTGTATAAGTCAACTACACATCATCAGCATGATAGCATCTCATGACTTAATTAAGATTCATATCATCGTCATATTTTTTAAAGTAAAATCATTAAGTTCAAATTGGATGGACATGATTTAATTAATATATCATAAAAATTATGATAACTTAACTCATTATTGGTTTTTTTTTTTATCTAATCTATATCATTAAATTCAAAATTAATAGTTAAATTTGAAACCTGATCAGTGATGTTCTTAAGAAAACATGAGAGGATCCAAATCTCATGAATTGTAAAACTAGAATTAGCAAGTTGATATTAAAATCAAATTTAAGGACTTATATTTATTCATGCAAAATATTATAAAATTAATAATATTTTAAATTTCATTTATAATTTAAATTTTAAGATTTATTTTTTTATACTTTAGATTTAAAGCATTTTTATACTCCCTATATATTATAGCATTTAATTGGAATTAAAATAATAACACAGAGTAAACTTAGTTTGATCACTTTATAATTCCATGAGAGAGGAGTATGATTACTGGATGAAACCGCAATTTAATCCCCCTAATCATAATGCCCACTTTGATAAATTTTAAATTAGATCCATAATGTTTGAAACATTGTTTAATTGGGTTCCTTAATAAAAATTAGTCAACACTTTAACGTTTTCTGTCTAAATGTGCATAGGCCATGCAATCAAACGCCGTCGCTTTTGGTAAATTTGACGGAAAAATTAACGGTCTGATATTGAAGGACCTAATGTAGTCTCAGCTTTGTAGTCCAAAAGGTGTTTTTCTCATTCCTGCATCTTCACAACTCCACGGAGCAACGGCGCTGTCTGCAGAAAATAGCCAACATACTTCCAAGCGTACTCGCAAAACCCCCTCACAGACTTCTTGAAGACAAGTTTATCTCACTCTTACAATCATGTAAGACCCTTAAGCTTCTCCAACAAATCCACTCCCAAATTATCACTCATGGCTTTGAGCACGAAGATTATATCACCCCAAAAATCATCACTGGCTATGCTTCATTCAAGACAACGGTGGATGCCCACAAACTGTTCGATCAAATTCCTGACCCAAATATCTCAATTTGGAATGCAATGTTCAGAGGCTATTCACAAAATGAATCTCACAGGGAAGTTATAGTCTTGTTTAGACAAATGAAGGGCTTGGATGTAATGCCTAATTGCTTCACTTTCCCAGCTGTTCTTAAATCTTGTGTCAAGATTAATGCATTGAAAGAAGGTGAAGAATTGCATTGTTTTGTGATTAAGAGTGGGTTTAGAGCGAATCCTTTTGTGGCTACCACGTTGATTGATATGTATGCTAGAGGAGGAGCAATCAATGCAGCTTATAGGGTGTTTGGTGAGATGATAGAGAGGAACGTGATTGCTTGGACTACAATGATTAATGGCTACATTACTTGTCGTGATTTAGTAACTGCGCGTCGCCTTTTTGATTTGGCACCTGAGCGGGATATTGTTTTGTGGAATACTATGATTTCGGGTTATATTGAAACAGGGGATGTAGTAAGAGCGCAAGAGCTTTTTAATAAGATGCCAAACAAGGATGTAATGTCTTGGAACACAGTTTTGAATGGTTATGCTAGTAATGGAGATGTTACTGCTTGTGAGAGATTGTTTGAAGAGATGCCGGAAAGGAATGTTTTTTCGTGGAATGCGTTGATTGGAGGGTATACGCATAACGGCTGTTTTTCTGAGGTAGTGAGTGCTTTTAAGCGGATGTTGATTGATGGAAATGTGGTTCCTAACGATGCCACATTTGTGAATGTGCTGTCTGCTTGTGCGAGATTAGGTGCTCTTGATTTGGGCAAGTGGGTACATGTATATGCAGAGAGTCGTGGATATAAGGGAAATGTATATGTTGGGAATGCTTTGATGGATATGTATGCTAAATGTGGGGTTGTGGAAACTGCTTTTGATGTGTTCAAAAGCATGTACAGGAAAGATCTGATTAGCTGGAATACCATAATTGGTGGATTGGCGATGCATGGGCGTGGAGCTGATGCCTTCAATTTGTTTTCTCAAATGAAAAGTGCTGGAGAAAATCTAGATGGAATCACATTCATAGGCGTTTTGTGTGCTTGCACACACATGGGTTTGGTTGAAGATGGCTTATCGTATTTCAAATCAATGACTGATGATTATTCAATAGTGCCTCAGATCGAACACTATGGCTGTATTGTTGATTTGCTAGGGCGAGCTGGTCTCTTAGCTGAAGCTGTGGATTTTGTTAGAAAGATGCCCATTGAAGCAGATGCTGTTATTTGGGCTGCCTTGCTTGGGGCATGTAGGGTATATAAAAATGTTGAATTGGCTGAACTGGCTCTTGGAAAACTCATTGAATTTGAACCAAAAAACCCTGCAAATTTTGTGATGCTTTCAAACATATATGGGGACCTTGGAAGATGGAAAGACTTGGCACGATTAAAAGTTGCAACGAGGGATACTGGGTTCAGAAAATTACCAGGATGTAGTTTGATTGAGGTCAATGACGGTGTGGTTGAGTTTTATTCACTGGATGAAAGACATCCTGAGAAGGAGCAAATATATGGCACCTTGAGAGCACTGACAAAATTGTTGAGGTCATCAGGATATGTACAGGATTTTATGGAGTTGGACGAGAGAAACTGAAGATAGAAGAGATCTTGTCTACGATGATAGAAACATTATGAAGTAACTCCCTATAGAATGGCTTCTTTGAACTTGAACAAAATTGTCTTTCCTACTTGTGTTGAAAGTTCAAAAGCCATCAACACTCCTATGGAGCTGCTTCATGCCAGGAAAGTTATGTACTTTGTTACAGTCAGAGTATCTTTGTAGCTGAGATGCTTACGATTGAGATTTTTATCCAGTGAAAATCCTCCTCCGTCTGGTAGTTGATTAGATGTTGATTACAACCTGAGCCATTCCATTAACTTCTGTTGCTGGGAGAGCAAGCTGGATGGTTGGTTCATTGTTCAGTGTCAGAAATGATGATGGCCATTGCGTTGTTAAGTCTTGTCAATATGCTGCCTGCCATTGTTGAAATCATCACCTGATGTGGTAAATTTAGCAAGCTATATCTATGCTGATCCTTCTATACAACCTTCAATAATTTCCAAACTGCTCATAGCATTTTCATGGCTTTTGAAAGCTTATAGAGACAACTTTTTGTGCAGCTGAGCTTACAGATCAGAAATAAGGGTGGGCTCTAAAGCAACAAGAAACAGATTAAGCAACTTGTGTGAAAGCCATTGCGCATTAGAGCGTCCATTTTCTTGCCTGTGAGCCCTTTACCTTGATTGTAAGGTGTAAGGCTTAACTAATAACATAGGAAACACATTCCTCTATCATCAGGTACGCTTCTAAAGCGTCTTCCTTCATCTATATGAGGCTTTTCTTCGCCATACTGCTATTGTTGAAATCATATCGTCTCATGTAGCTTATAAAATCGTCAATGACAACCAAACTCTTTTACTCAAATGTCGTTTGATTTATTTATTGTTATGTGGAGGCATATAAATAGTAAGGAGTTAATGTATGGAATCGAACCCCTTACCTGCTGCTTATCCAGCATAGATGCCAAGATAAGAAATGAGGAAAGGGAGTAGGCCAATTAATCTTAGTTGCACTGGTCATGGGATAGCCTATCCCTGGCAATCAAATTAAGCTGGGTAGAAAAGAAAGAGCAGTGCACATCTGCATTGTACCGTTCCATGTCAAATGGGCTACAACGTGATTTTTAGAACCCAAGGTCAGGCTTGAAAAATTCAGCCCAGGCGTAATAGCCATATCCCAAGGCAAGTTTCAAATATTTCTGCAAGGTTGATTAAGAAGGAAGGGCAAGAAAAAATTGGGCAAATGATTGACATAACATGAAATTTATTGATACTTTCCGATGGGTATCGATGCTGGGCTCATTCTTGGTCGAATGCGGACAAAGTTTGAGGCCCAATTCAGTGTCCTCTCCCCTTGCCTATTATTTATTTAGTCATCTTGCTTAAATCAGATTACCTCCTATCTCTAATGAAGAGGGGGAAAAAAGAACAACTTGAGCTTCTCTCAATCTCTCCATGGGCGCCTGTCTTTGTCATGAACGAACCGGATGTATTTCACATGATTTTCTTAACAGACATCATCATATTTCTAGTGAGTTTCTAAACAATATAGTAATTGTAATTATCATCACGTAATATTGTCCTTTTTTTAGTGACCTTAACTCATAAATCCTTGTTAAAGAATGGGAGAAAAGAACAATAATTGGGAGAAGAAAAAAACATAGTTTGTCACTAATCTATTTTTTAATCTTCCCCATTATCAAACCCACTAAACTAATACTACATGTTTTGTAAGTATTAAGTTCAATTTGTCTCCACATTGATTTTCGAAATTAATTATCTGATCTTGTCTTTATAATTTAATAATCTGATCAATTTTTTAATCTTCCCCATTATCAAACCCACCATATAAACTAATACTACATGCCTTGTGGAGTTGTAATTAAGCCAAGTGGAGCCAAATATATATCAGCAAGTTTGTTTATTAATTAGTTTCGATTTGTCTTTTTTCTCTTACAACTTAATCGGGTTTATTCGTAGCTTTCAAATGGAAATGGTCAAATATTATAAATTTATTTTTTCTAAAACAAAAGAAAAATATCAAATAAAATATTATTATTAATTAAGTACAGTCATGCTCTGTGGCTGTTGTTAAACATAATTAATTGTTAGTCAAGTTGTGTTAGAGTCTAGCTAGCAACTTCAACTAAACTTATCACTAGGATTTCTCAATAAATAAAGTATAATTCTGATCACCCATACACAATCCACCATTGTTATTGTTACTTTAGAAAGGTGTTAACTACATGTTTTAGACTGTAATGAAATACCTAATTACGTACTTTCTTCTTTTATTTTTTATTTTTATTTTTTAAATGTTGAGGGCATTCTGATGGAGCTTAAATGCAACAAAATCAAGCTCCTTCCAACTAGAAATTAGACGAACCAATTACACCTGAGCAGATAGATACATTCATGTTCGTTTTTTTTTTTCCTCCTCTGTAACCTCAACTTAAATTTGGATCCAAGAAGCAAACCCATTTATATTTCACTTGAACCAATACCTCCAAACTTATTACAGCAGGTGTCCACTAATCAAAACACAGCTTTTATTCCACCAAATTATAAAAATAATTAACAGTTGATTGTAGAGGAATTTGACAGATCGAGCTAGGAGTTGCTTTTATGTAAATTTCATGTTGGTTATGATTAGAGATGAAATGAGTTAGGTTTGGATTTCTTATAAAGAAGTCAAGCAGATAGATAAATTACATTATGCACAGTTACAACCATTTATGAGATTGGTTGTGATTGTATTGGTTACTCGGAACAAATATTTTAGTTTAACCTAGGATTAGAGTTTCAAATAATTTGTTCCGGTCTAGCATTCGTACGGATTATTACTTAGGGCATTAAGAGGTGCATGTACAAGGGAAATGATACACTCCACGCTCGCCAGTCATCACACGTAATCCTCAACACAACCATAAAAGTACATTTTGGTCCTATAATTTTATAATTATGAAAAAAAGTCCTTAAATGGATAAGAATATACCCTTTTTAATTATTTTTTTGCCCTTGCAACCTTTAAAAAATTACATAAGTAATAAGTACAATTTGATCCTTTAATTTAAAACTATTCAATCACATCATTATTTACTTGAAATTAAATACAAGACATTACTATTACAAAATAAAACATTAAGAACATAATAGCATAATGTTTTTTCTGTAAACTTCAATATCAAATAATTGTGATGATAAATGACAAAAAAATGAAAATATCTTAGAAGTTGGAACAAGATTTTTAAAGGAATGGGTTAATGGTAAATACCTTAAAATGAAAAGGAAAACCAAACTTTAAAAAATAATATCTTGCGTGCTAAATAAATAAGTTTTTTTTAATACAAAGTGAATTTAGGAACTATTTGCAGATTATAAATAAGATTTAGGATTTTTTGCACTGGATAAAATTTTAAGGACTATTTAAATTTGATATTAAAGTCTAGGACTAAAATTGTAAATGACCATAACGAAACTTCAACAAAGACAAAATAAAGTAAAAGACAACAAGAATTTTCCATCCTATCACTGAACTGAGGGCTTAACGAAATAGAAATATGGTGTCGTGTCAATCTATCCTAATCTCATAGGCAATTCATCTATGCATTAACATAAGTTAATTGATTTGAAATTTGACATACATGGCCTATATAAATAGGCACTTAAATCCAATAATTGACGGGTTTCAAATCATAATAAATTAAAAGTTATAGCATCCTTAATGATTTATGTAACTTAATCATATATGTATACTTATATATATAAAAAGCTATGACTTTTTATAATATGTTGCTTTGCCCTAAAACTTTGAAAATAAAATAGTAAATTTGTTTGAGTTTTTTTTTATGAATTTCTTAATATAAACTAAATACAAAAAATATATTATGAAATAATAAATGTTTGTGATCATTTTTATTCTCAATACTAATTATATTGTTTGATTGATTCAATTCAACATTATAATGCATGATGACACTAGAATTGAAAAATTAGTATAACTTGTTATAAACTTTTTCTATCTCTTTCCAATTCCCTTTTTAACCCTAAAACCTATAAATATGATTGATTGTTCATTAGTTGTTGAAGTGTTTTTATAGAATTGAGAGAGTTGTTTTCGAGTTACTATCACCTATATTCATTTTATTTCATAGTAAAATCATTTTCATGTTATCTTTTCTTTCAATTCTTTTACTATTGTCATAACAATTTTTTACCATTATTATTATTATTTCAACATGTTATCAATATAAAACTCTAATTAACTTAGACAATAAAGGATGAGGTATGTATTTTTCAAAAGACTCAATCATTTGTTTCAACCATTGGATTTTTTTTTTTTATTATTACAAGAGTACTCTACTAAAATATTTAAATTATTTAGATCATTAAGAGGTATGTAACTAATTTACCATTTACTTTAAATCTAATGATACATAGAGTATATGTTTGAAAAATTTAAATGATCTAATATATAGAATCTAATGATTTAATGTATTTGTTCGAAAATTTTAATATTTAATATTATTTTTTTTATTTTCTAACATTATTATTAGTACATCTAGCATTATTAAAAAAAAAAAATTAGTGTGGTTGCCTAAAATCTAATCTATTTGGATGGTTTAAAATATTGTATCATTGTATTTTTAATATTAATCTAATGTGTTTCTATTAATTCTTATTTTTATAATTTGATAAAATTAGATAAAAGTTCATATGATATGCATTGATGATTGATCAATAGATTGCATCATAGATATTCTACTTTCGATATACTAACCCTATTCTACAAAATATTGATTATTGTACAAACATTCCTAAACCCAAGTATTCGAACCAAGAAGTTTCTCCACTCGAATCTCCTACTGCTTCAACCAGATCGAAAACATTGCTCATGAGTGTAATGTTATTAAAAAGGATGATTTTGAAGTAGACAAAAAAAACATGCATGATGATTTTTATGCAAAACATAATTAAGAAAAAAGAATTTGGTTTTTTAGAAATTTTTTGGATAATAGGAAAGAAATACAAAAT